CATTTCATTCTCCACCTCCACCTCCATCTCCACCTTCACCTTCGCTCTTCTTCTTCTTCTTATTCTTATTCTTATTTTTCTCCTTCTCCTTCTTCTTCTTCTTCTTCCCTTCTTTCCCCCCACGTCCTTTCCTTATCCACATGACTACACTTTTTTCCCAATCAGCTTTTCTGTTTCCATGTCGTATACATCCCCGAATGGAATATAATACTCACATCGCTTACTTGACAGGACAAATATCTTCGGATAATCTCTGATTATATCTTCGGAACAAATTGTTTCAATTTGTGAAAATATTTCTCTCTCCCTCTTTCTCTTCCTCTCTCTCTCTCTCCTTCTCTCTCCTTCTCTCTCTCTCTCTCTCTCTCTCTCTCTTTTTCTTCTTCTTCTTTTTCCCATCTACATATATATATTCTCCATAACAAGTCAAGTTCGCCGTTCTTAACCTTTGTATAGGTCGATGGGAAGAAGATACGGCTTTTTTTCTGTCTTCTTTTTCTTTCCTTTTCTTTCTTTTATTTTTCTCTCTTTTTTTCTTTTCTTTCTTTCTTTCTTTCTTTCTTTTTTTTTTTTTTTTTTTTTTTTTTTTTTATTTACTTTCGAGGCACCATCGAAGTTTGCTCTTGAGAAAAGCAAATGCTAACGTCAAGCACGACTTCGAGGATGAAACGCCTGAAGATCTACCGGAGCCGTGAGCCTCGCGTCGCGTCGTGCACAGCGAAAAAAGAGACATTTTCCGTTTTCAAGATCGCGCTAAAAACCCGATGTAGTCTCCTGCGCGCGTTCTGAGAAGGATCGGGGTCGGTAGGAGAGACGGGACGATGAGAAGGGGAAAGAGTGTGCGATGAGCGATCCGAACCGATCCACCAGGCGAGGCTGGCTAGTCGAGAAGAGAAGAGAAGAGAAGAGAAGAGAAGAGAAGAGAAGAGAAGAGAAGAGAAGAGAAGAGAAGAGGAGAGAAGAGGAGAGGAGAGAAGAGAAGAGAAGAGAAGAGATGAGAAGAGACGAGACGAGACGAGGACGAGGTGAGGCGTCGTCGTGCGCTTAACTGCCCTAAAAGGCAGTTCTCTCTTTACTCGATAGTCACTGTTGTTCTCCAATAGTATTGCTTACTAGCATGTCTATCGAGAATCCTCCCGAACGTCTCTTGTTTACCGTACCGATCCGACACAGATCTCCTTATTCCTAAAATCTCTTCGATTATTTCGACATTACTTAAGATATGAAAATAATCTTTGAAATATTAAACATAATTTATACGCGCACATACACACACACACACATACATATTTATATATATATATATATATATATATATATATATATATAAATAAATGAATGAAAATAAATTAAAAAAGAAATATTTCCATGATATCAGACGTGTATCTTTTCGAAGATTAAAACATTAAAAATACCGTAGGTTCGAAGATTAAAAGAAATATTGTACGGTGCAATATAGAAATTTGGTCGTGAATTATAGCTCTTGTGGTATCTTTAATAAATGAGAAAGAGAGAAAGAGAGAAAGAATGAGAGAGAGAGAGAGAGAGAGAGAGAGAGAGAGAGAGAGAAGAGAGTACGCTTATTGCTTGTGAAAGAAAATTGATGCCACGGATAATGTCGAAATTTACATTTGTAACTTAAGAATGAAAAATTTTTCAAGACTGTCTTGAACGAATTGGAAGGTCCGCGAACGATAAGTTGTAAGCGATATACACGGGTGGTTAGTCGTAAAAGATACATAAGAGTATTCTGAACTTGGATCGCGATAGAGACGATTATTTATTTACGTATGACGTATCATATTTCTTCATATCAATATATAGAATCATGCGAATAGTCGCGTCGTTTTAAAAATGTTTTCAATCCAAACAGAGGTGTTATGTATATATATACATACGTATGTATGTATGTATGAATGTATGTATTTGTGTGTGTGTGTGTGTGTACGTGCGTGTGTGTGTGTGTGCGTAAGTAACCACTTAAGAAATATTTACTTTACCCAATAATTACAACGTCCTGTATGATATCTTTCTGCGTGTTTAAGTATCATCGAAGAAATTTAAGGAAAATACGAGAGACTTGGGTGAGAACACACCGAATCAGTTTTAATTCCCGACTAATGGAAGCGTCATTAAGTTTAACGGACGGCGAAGAACGGCCCGTCGCCGAGCGTACCATTATTTTTACCGTTCTGCCTTGTAAATTACACTTCGAAACGTACAAGCCGCAATTCCTTGCCTTTTGCCCCCACCATCGTCACTACCACCCTCCTCCCGAGACCATCCCAAGCCCACCCGCCCCCTCCCCACCTCCGTCATCTTCTTACCAAAGCAAGAGGTGCTTCCAATTTTTTCACATCGTCGACGTCTTCACTGACGTTCTCCATTTTCGCCTGTTTCGCGATAACGACGTGAAATTCCACCAAGGCAGGAAGAAATAAAAATGTCGTCGATTTCTCAAAAGAAGGCGGCGAAATGCGAGCATCGTTGATCCTTCACCCTAAAAGAAAAAAGGAGTAATAAGTTGACTGAATGCATGAACAAGAAGAAGAAGAAGAAGAAGAAGAAGAAGAAGAAGAAGAAGAAGAAGAAGAAGAAGAGGAAACAGAAGAAGAAAAAGTAAAGGAGAAGAAGAAAAAGGAAGAAGAAGAAGAGAGAAGATCAGCGTGTTCAACGTCGCGATCTTGGTTCGTTCACTTTCGTGCTCGCTGAGACGTTCTCGTCTGATTCTCACGAGGTTGTCGAGTTCGCGATCGATTCGAACGCCATAACATCAGACCCTAGACCACGTCCGTGCGTGTCATACAGGCACGTGAGGTGCATTTTCGAAGATACCAGTCGAAAGAATAAGGTCGTGAAGTGGCGCAACGGTCATTCTATTCTATCAAACCTCCTTTTCCTATTTTTAGTACTTTATTTCTATTACGATCAGGCACTTCAAATGCATTTCAAATGCATTTTACAATAGACTCCTAATTTTCCGTATTCAAAGGAATTCCTTTATAACGTTAGACTTTAAAATGTTTCTAAATAAATATGTCATATGTTAATCATTTCGAAGTAATCATTAAAATCATTAAATACCTTTCTTCTTTTTACCTATTACACATTTCTATGTACATTGTTAATACAATTTATATATTTATATATATATATGTGTATATATATATATATATATATATATATATATATATATATAAATGTACGTCGAACGAGAGCGGATGGACGCTTCTCCCGAGGCATTTCAAACTTGCACGGTCGTCGAGGCCGATCGTGACTTCTTTCCCGTTTTTTGCGGAGTGCAACGAACGTACGGTATCCTATTGTTCCAACTCACAAGCCCTCCACTTTCCGTCGTGCTTCCTCGCTTTCGTTCATCTTCGATCGATATGATCGACGAGATGATAACTAGAAATTTAATAAAACGATTCAATGACTCTATATACTCTAATAACTATGTCATACCATTGATGATATCTTATTACATAATAAAACGAACGATTACGTTGGATAACGTTTATAATAAATGTTTTATCAATCGTTTTGTTTTTTACGTATAAAAAGTGACTAACCTCACGTGAATCTCGTAAATTTTACGATCGATGGAAAATCTTATAATCTGAAAATATTAATTACAATATATTTCTTTGTATATGTGCATATATATGTTTATATATATATATATATATATATATATATATATATATATATATATATTTTTTTTTCTTCTTGTTTTATTTCTCCGCTCGTGAAATATTTACGATAGAAACGTAAGTGAATTTCTGTAAAGGTTAAGTTACGTCATCGATATTATAATAATTTTGTTCAAGTTCATGGATATAATTCTCATTAAATTTATCATAATAAAATATTCACGTTTGAGAATGATAGAAATATTTCGTAGAACAATTAAAGTATATTACTTTTCACTCGAAATCCTATTAAAATTTGTTCGTTTAAATAGAACGGAATATTTAATGAGATAAAGCAGATTTTTCCAATGATATCATTGCAAACTATCAATTATATTCGACCAATCAAATTACGCGTTATTAAAGAACGTATTCGATTGTATTACGATTGGTGGAAAATCTTACATAATATTCGATCGATATTTTTATTGGTTAAAAACGTAATAGCATACTCGAGACATTGATTGCAGCGCCCCTATGGTCATTATTGCGGTTTAAAATGTTCGTTGGTATAACGAAGTGCTTCGAATATTCGTTAAAATTTTTCAAGAAAATTTTCTTCAATTTCTAATATCATCACGTAAGTCTTTCTTATAACAAGCTTAAGATAATTATTATTAATTAATCGTAAGTTTCTGAATTAAATTAAATAACATTCTTCGCATTATATTCTTGTTTAAATAATAAGTACGTTAAAAAGGGGGAATTCAACGGATTGATTTATATGGCGGTGAAGCGGGGAGGAAGGTAAGAATAGTAAGAAAATCTTTTGAAACTTTATAAATTTGATTATCGATGTTATACTTGATAAATATCTTAAGTATTTATCAATTATTTGATAATATTTAAGCGCATCTCAATTTAGTTATTATACGATCGTGCAAAGTTATATCAAGTATAGTATGTGAAAGTTTCAATAAGAACAACTTCCTCTCGTGGATAGTTTTACCATGGAACATACTTAAAGTATTCTCCGTCATACTTTTTGCACTTTATCTTACGAATTGCATGCATAAGAAAAAGTTTTCTTGTCGCTTGTTTAGAAAATTATGGGCCCTTATAGCGATCTAGAGAGGCCGTCTTATTTTATACGTAATAAAGTCTCTTCGCATTTTCACAGGTCGAGAAGAGAGGAAGACTAGACAAAGAGAGAGTGAGAGAGAGAGAGAGAGAGATAAGTACGAAGGAACGTGAAAGAAAGAAAGAGAGAGAGTGAGAGAGCGAGTGAGAGAGAGAGAGAGGAAAAAAGAAGAAAGATGGCGATCATAGATATCATTCTTCGTAAATGCATCGTAACCTTTGAACTTTATTTATAGAAGTTGTCGGTAAGTAAGATAATCGCATTTATCAATTGAATTATATATTGTTCTTTATATTTTTATCGACTAGATTGGTAATTATTTAAAATGCTTAATGTTACGATGAGTAACCCTATTTAAATTACTTTCAAGTCACTTGAATTAATTAAAAGTGAGCGTTCGCTTGAAATCGTACGTTGTAATGATTATTAGATTCTTATAAAAAAAAAAAAAAGATTAAATAAATAAATAAATAAAAAGAAATAAAAAGACGAAGAGTCTTGTAAAGATTTAAAAAAAAGGAAAGATTTGTAAAAATTGTTCGCCTATAATGGCGAATTAAAAGCTTCTTTTTTATAAAAAAAAAAAAAAAAATTCGTACAAAAAGTAAATGAAATTATAAAATTATAGATCGGTATCTTAGCGAGATGTGTAATATTAAATAATTAATTTGTTAATTCAAGTGGAAACGAGTTTATTTTCTTGCAGATTTTACGTTTTTTTTTATTATTATTTTTTTTTTTTTTTTTTTTTTTTTTTTTTTTTTTTTTATTAGGAATGTCGTAAATGTTCTAAAAATAATTTTATATATGTATTTAGGACGGACGGAACTTTAAAAAGTAAGTAAATTTATGATTGAGTTTAAATTCATCTCGTAAATACTTTAATAATAATATCGCGTAAGAAAGGTACATGCCTTTCGAGATTTTATGCTTCCGTCTCTTTTAATTGGAATTCCATCGATGATATATACGTTCAATTGAAGAGAGAGAGAGGGAGAGAGAGAGAGAGAGAGAGAAAAGATTATATATATATATATATATATATATATATATATATATGTATATGTATATATATGGATAAATAAATATGATAGGATCTCCTTAAAAATTATTGGTTAACCTTTGACCCGTCTCGTTATTTAACATTATTACCATTACCGATCGTAGATTCTATTTTCAATGAAAATTCAAAATACATGATGTGTTAGTTAATCCGTTAGTTAAATTATGGATAAATGTGATCGTATTCCTCGTACGTGTAAGTTTTTTCAGGTCGAAAGGTCGAAAAAAAAAATCTTCGGTATTAGGCGGCGGATGCACAATGACTAAAGATGACGACACGTTGGGAAATTTTATGGCGATCGAGGCTACCACCAACTGAGATATTCAAAGTACGCCAAACCGACAACAACGACAATGACAACGACAACGACAACGATAACTAAGACAACGACAACGACGAGTCTTGCATTCTTACACTTTTAATCTAGTTCTCTAAGCGGATCGAAGTAAGTAACCGGCGCCACGCGTCATATCCCACCAAAACGGATCTCTTGAGAATTATTGGTGCGAATCAATGGGGTTGCATTTGTAAGATAGATTATAAAATATAAAACATATATATATATATAAATATATATATATATATGTATACATACACATATAGATAACAGATATCTTCCTTATACTATCTTTCTCTTTCTTCATCTTTCTTTCTCTTTCTTTCTTATATTGCAAGAGTAAGAGAAAAAGGAGATACAAACTTTCGCGCAGAAACGCTTTCCCTCGTCGATAGAGGAAGGACGATCGATGTCAAGGCCGTTCGCTGACGAATCTTTAACTGGGTGGAAGAAGTCATCCATTCGCGCTACGAATAAGGCAATCCCAAGGTGCTCACCTGAATAAACTCTCTTCTTCATGTATATACGTATGTATGTACGTAACTGACGTCTTACATGGATCCGACACCGGTCTATGTATGTATCTTGTTACTTGTTACATCCTCTAAGGCTATTCTACGATAACGCGTTAAAATAACGAATAATTCCTAATAAACGATCTCACGCGTCAAAGTATAAATCGGACGAACCAATAAATACCAATAAACGATATTCTAAATCATTATTCACGTGTTTCTTTTCTACTTGATATTATCTCACGTGTATGGCAACTATGTACGTAGAACGAGTACCAATAACGAGCAAATCCAAAATAAAAGTTGTAAACTACAGATGGGCTGGAGGAGAGATAAAGGATGGGGGAAATGAGGGTAGGCAGAGAGGGGAGGCAGAGGAGAGGGTAGATGAGAGAGAAAGAGAGAGAGAGAGAACGAAAGGGGAGCGAGCGACGTACTTTACGTTTTACGGTTAATTTAGTTTACGGCTAGTATATGTAGAAAGAAAGAGAAAGAAAGAGAGCAATGACCATCCTCTTTACGCAAACTGTATGCGAATGCGAGTTTAACGTCTTGAACTCAACAATACAGTGACTAGTTGAGTTAGCAAAAATCAGGATTTGGGTACGACAACCGGACGTGTGTGTTACCTAGCTATGATGATTTTGTACGTGTCATGCGATCGGTTAGGTAGACAAGCAGCCAGGCAAGCACGTACATATGTGGAACAACAAGCTTCTCTTCGGTAAATCGAGAACGTACCGACGTGAATATGGTGACACTGATGCCACCGATTCGATATATACAATATATATATATATATATATATATAT